ACAGATTACAAGCCTTCCCACGTATGCACTTATTAAATGTATAAATGTTAAATCATTAAACATATACATTATGGCTTCTACCTAAAGAGATCAATTCAAACTCAATATAAAACCAAGAAACAGAGGATTAAAAAACATGCAGTCAAATGTGGAGTGTGATGTTAAATGATCTAATCACAGGTTGTTAAAATGTTCATAGCCCGAACTAGCTATTTAAAGAGAATAAGGAAGAGACAGTCTTATCTATCTCAGAAAGAAGGTCTATGATTAAGATTATCATACTGAAGAGAGTTTTCTTGAATACCTTTGAGAAAACATTGAGATATGACTGGGCCTCCAATGGTGGCATAAATTATGTACACTTAAAGAGATGTTCCTTTAGCAGTTGTGTTTCTTTAGTTAAAAGGATTGTCTATTATTGTACTGTATTCAGCTTGGATACCAGTTGGCTCTGGGCAGCTCACAGCATAAAAAACGAATTGCAATTTGAAATTCAGGTAAAACAAAAACAATGAATAAGATAGTGAATCCAGCTAAAAGGAACAAGTGACTTCAGTCACCCTAGCCCAGGGCTAGGCAACCTTGGCTCTTTTATGACTCGTGGAACTCCCAGAATTGCTGGCTCAGGAATTCTGGGAGTTGAAGTCCACGAGTCATAAAAGAGCCAAGGTTGCCTATCTCTGCCCTAGCCTAAAGTCTGGAAGAAGACCCAGGTCTTTAAAGCCCACTGGAATGCTATCAGGGTGGCAACCACCTGGTTCTCTGGGGGATCTTTATTCCAGAGGGCACTAAGGACTGGATGGATGGCACTGTTTGTTCAAACAGATCAAACTGGCAGGGCTGATATCACATGAGACAGGTGACTCCTCAGTAATCAGGCCCTATGCCATGTAGGGCTGCCCACCTTCTCAAAAACCTTCCCTAAAAATGGAAGTTTGGAGACAGGATGATGGTTATCAAAAATCATTGGAGGAGTTGCACCAACCCCCTTCTTCAAAGAGGCTGTCACTATAGGATGAACCCAAGTGTAGGCCATCTCCCAGGCCACTTTCACAATCTTGAAGGGGCCTGGGTTCAGGAAACGTGGCTCAACTGATAGCACAGAAAATTGTGTCTACCTCCACAGGAGTCATTGGTGTAAATATTTATTGAAGAATAATTCTGGAAAAGAAAAACCTTAACATTTCTTCTATTCAGGACAAAGTCCTTACAACCGTAACCTTACAGACTACAAAAATAAATACTGATAGTTTATTTTTCAAGGTAAACTAGTTGAACATAATATCTAGATAATGGATTTGATAATATTTATTAGATTTATATCTTATCTTTCCTCCAGGGAAAGATAATGTCCAACATCCTCAATGTTTCTTCTTAACAGCAATCCTGTGAGGTCAGTTGGGCTGAGAGGTTATGGCTGGCCTAAAGTTACTCACGGTTTCCATGTCTAGGGATAGGTTTGTATCTAGGTCTTCATTATTTTAATTTAGTAATTTAACCACTACACTAATACTGATTTCTAGTATGAAAACACAATCACCAACCATCTAGACACGGAGAATAAAATTCTGTCTACATCCGGGATGCCAACTAAGCAAAGGTGTTTTTGTATTACTTATTACTCTGCTCATGTATCGAGTAGTAACCTTATCTGTAGATCTACCCATCTAATTTATCTCTCAGCCTATGATATAAATCTAACTACTAAATTATAAACGCCTACATTACTAATACAATTATTTTCCATCTTGGTTAAACAGATGTTATCTATCATGATTTGCTGTCTGTGGACTGCTTGGTCCAATTCTACTTTTGATTGTTTTATATTTGTGGGGGAACACATGCTAGCTTGTCATAATCAGCCTAGGTAACTCAGGTTCATAAAGTTAACAATAAGGCAAGCACTTCTATTTGGGGGGAGCGGGTTAAAAAAGTCCCCAATAGAAAGGCAACCAAAGGTCCACAGTAGAAGTTGTGTTCCTCTTTATGTAGGCCATATGTGCAATGAACATAAAAAGAGCCAATATTTTGATGGCACCATTGTGGTTCTCGTGATTTTTTTGAGTCCCTTCAAAATCATGTAAAGAATTAGTACCGCTTTATAAAGCCTTAGTAAGGCCACACCTGGAATACTGCATCCAGTTTTGGTCACCACATTACAAAAAAAGATGTTGAGACTTTGAAAAAAGTGCAAAGGAGAGCAACTAAGATGATTAAAGGCCTGGAGACTAAAACATATGAAGAAACGTTGCAGGATTTGGGAATGGCCAATCTAGAGAAAAGAAGGGCTAGGGGGGATATGATAGCAGTATTCCAGTATTTGAGAGACTGCCACAAGGCGGAAGGGGTCAATTTATTTTCCAAAGTACCAGAAGACAAGAAACAATGGGTGGAAACTAATCAAGGAGAGAAGCAATCTGGAATTAAGGAGAAACGTCCTAACAGTGAGGACAATTAACCAGTGAAATAACTTGCCTTCAGACATTGTGGGTGCTTCATCACTCGAGGTTTTTAAGAAGAGACTGGACAGCCACTTGTCTGAAATGATATAGAGACTCCTACTTGAGCAGGGGGCTGGACTAGAAGACCTCCAAGGTCCCTTCCAGCTGTATTCTGATTAAGGGGTCTAGTTTAGTAAACACCAGAATCGCTACACTACAACCAGCATATCTTCTCTTATTTAAACCTTCCACAAATAACCCTGCTGCAAAGGTCAGCAAAAGATAGCTATTTTGGACTGAAATTATTGGATAAGCATCTTCATACTTTGCTTAGCAGGTCTAAAATGGCTTGTTAATATGGCTTAACAAGTAAGAAACAATATAATTCTATGCTGTCTCCCTTGTGTCACAGTAAGTCACAGTCAATTAATCTCTATTATAGCTTACTATATAATGAAGATACACTGTTGGTATGCATATTTAGTATTTAGAAATTATTTTTGTGTATGAATCAGAGTATTGTACCCCTCTAAATTGTACTTAAACTGTACATTAGTGAAGTTATTCAAAGCCAGTATAATATCTGGTCTCTAAATATTTTATTTTCTAGAGTTTGCTTCAAACTCTTTAAAACCATTTTATATAGACATAGAGCAGACATGTCAAATACAAGGCCGGCCTGTGAAGTGGTTTCATGTGGCCCGCGAAGCCATCCTGGAAGGCCCCCGCTGCCTTGGCCCCGGCCCAGGCCAGCCGGGAGCCAATGTACAAATTTTGTGATGGCCATCTATGCTGAAACACATTCAGTCTTAGCTCCACAAGGCCATCTGGAAACAACGAGGAACCAGCCCCTGCCGCGTTGGCCCCACACCCTGGGTGCATGCTGGGGAGATGTCACCCTTTGTGAGGAATGAAGAAATGCACCATCGCCTGGAAGTGGCCAGCAAATGGCCCTCGCCTACTTCACATATCCGGCTTGATGGGCTCCAGGGGAGAGGTTTCAGCAGGCAGCAGGGCGCTCTCCTCACAGCACCGAGAGGCTGAGCCGGGTAGCACAAATCCAAAAAAGCGCGAGGCCGCCCAGCTCCCAGCCTTCCCGGGTTTGGCAGGCAGCAGGGCGCTCTCCTCACAGCGCCGAGAGGCTGAGCCGGGTGACACGAATCCAAAAAAAAGCACAAGGCCACCCAGCTCCCAGTCTGCCCAGTTTTGGCAGGCAGCGGGGCGCTCTCCTCACAGCGCTGAGCCAGGTGGCGTGAATCTGATGAGAAGTGCAATGCTGCCTAGCCCCCAGCCTGCCCAGTTTCAGTGGGCAGCAAGGTGCAAAGCTGGCAAGCTTCGCACCATCCGGCTCAACCTCTCGGCGCTGTGAGGAGTGCCCCGCTGCCTGCCGAAACCACACCCACCCCACCCCATCCACGCCCACCCAGTAGGCCGCACCCACTCTGGCTACACCCCCCCCCCGCAGGGAAACCGCAATGCTGATGCGGCCCTCAATGAAATTGAGTTTGACACCCCTGACATAGAGGATTAGTGTTTTAAATCAGTGTTTCTCAACCTCAGCAACTTTTAATATGTGTGGACCTCAACTCCCAGAATTTCCCAACCAGCATGCTGGCTAGAGAATTCTGGGAGTTAAAGTCCATACATCTTACAGCTGGCTGTTGAATTCTGGGAATTGAAATCTACACGTTTTAAAAGTTTTTGAGGTTGAGAAACCAGTAATATGTATGTAAGCAAATTTCTTACAGGAACAGTTTTGCTGGTAACCATAAAAATGTATGGAATTGTCAGGAATGAGATTTACAGGTGGAAACTCCCCACCCCACCCCCACCCTTACCCCAGAAGACTGGCACCTTCTTAAACCCCGACCTGCATTTCCTTATTCCCAGCTGGGGGCTAAGACAGAGATATTCTGTGAGAACTGGGGAGATAAAGGTTGGGAGAGCCTGAGAATTGGGGAGATAAAACTTAGAATTACATTGAGAAAAGTTTCTCCATGCCCAGATGTTTACTCAACCTCAGAACAGCTGGAACATTTCCAACCTATCACTCAGTTCTTTTTTTTTCTCCCTTTCTTCTCTTATGCAGTATTTTTCCACCCGGCCGTCTCTTCTTCCTTCTTCCTTTCCGCCACCTTTCCTCCCTTTGTCTCTCTCTCTCTCTCTCTTTTCCCATTCCCCTCCTCCCAACTTTTCCTCTTTCTTCTACCTCCCTCAACTTCTCTCGACTTCGTCCTCAACTCCTTTTGTTGTTCGGGCTTGCAACCGCTCCGAACTTGCTTTGATTCCGCAGCGAAGGGCCAGATCACGTGCGTTAGTGACAGCCTGTCTCGGCGCGGCCCCGAACACCGCGAGGCTCACATTGGTGCAGCCGAAGCCGCTGTCCATTCCCCCCCCCCTCCAGTACCCGCCGCCTTCTCACGCAGAGATACATATACACTCCGCACAGGATGGGATGGGAAAGGGGGGGGGAGCCGGGGCGGGGCCAGGGACGGCCCCTGCCGATCAGCTGTTCGCTGGATTCTATAACAACAAAAGACTCAGCCGGGAGCTGAGACGGGCCGACGCAACAGGGAGCCTTGAAGGAACTAAGAGGACCGCCGCCCTGCCACCTACCTCAGTAGCCGCCGTCCAGCTCCGTTCTGCCCCGGCGTTCGCAGACGGTGAGTGAAGCCGCCGTGGCTGCCCTTTGGACCGGGGTGGGCGGCCAGAGCGACTTCCCCGATGCGCGCTGCGCTTGGCTCGAAGGGCGCGCGATCCGCCCGGGCACGTTCCGCCTGGACGGATCGGTCGCTCCCGTCTTTCAGCCGGAGCCTATTTAAAGATCCGAACGGGGGGGGGGGGTGCGAGGGGATTCTCCTCGCCGCTGCCTTTAGGTTGGGCGGCTGCGGTGGGCTGACCGAGTTCCATTCTCTCATCCTCCCGTGGACAAGGAGCCGTCTCCCCCTTCTGCGAAGCTGTAAACAACCGGACCGGTGGCGAGGCGAGGCGAGGAGTAACGCCGCAATAAAAGTAGTTCCTCTTCCATCCCTCGCTTTTCCCTCAAGAGCCGCGTCCCGAGAAGCCCGCCGGCGGCTTCGACCCTCGCTCGAGGAGTGTAGCGGCGGCTCATCCGCAACCACTTGTGGCGCAGGTCTCTTCGCTCTGGCTCCAGCCCCGCGTCCTGCTCGCGTTTCCTCGGAGGGAGCGCCGGGCAGGTCAGTCAGCGCACATCCGGAGAGAGAGAGAGAGACGATTCAGACGGCGACCCGAGAAAGCTGTTCAAATGCAGTCCCGCTACTCGACCGCCCTCGGATCGCCCAAGCGATTTCCGTGCGGCTGCTTGGAAGAAGGCGAAGGGATTTCAGAGACTCCTCCTAAGGATGACCGTTTAGATTCGGGGGACGGGGAGGGGGAGGGGAGGGAGTTTCTACTTGGATTTTACTACTTGGATTTTACTAAAGTTTAAGCTTTACTTTTTAATCAGTGTCTGGTCTCGAGTGGCGTTTTAAATGGTGGCCTACCCGGCGCTGAAACTTGGAATTAGACGAGTGAGATGGATGAGTGGGAGTCGCCGTTAAGCAATGCATGCAGATTCACTCGCCAGATCAATTCCAACGTGGGCTTTATTCTGCATTTAATACGCCTAGCGTTAAATCCTAGTTTCCCCCCCAAATGGATCGGCGTCTGCTATCCAGATTTCAGTTTCGGAGTTGCAATTTTGCTGCGATCGCGGAATAGCGGCTGCGGCGATAAAATAAAAAATAAAAAAATAACAAGGGGGAGAGAAAAAGCGTGGTTTGCGCTTGCAACGCCAAACCGAGTTTAGGGGCGCCTGCGCGAAGGCTGACGGCCGGAAAACACTTCCTTTTCGCTCGAGAAATCCAAGCGGAGGTCGGTCACCATCCATTCAGCGAGGACTCCCGGGCGAATACCCAGAAATACCTCAAGCTTTAGAGATGCCCGTTTAGGCTACCCGCCTGCTGCAATCCTCGGAGTACGCAACTTTTGGGCTGAAGTTGCACCTAATAGCCGGGCAACGCGGCGGGATTCCGGCTCGCGCCGGAGGCGTCGGCGGGCCTCGATCCTCGCATTTTAGCATACATTCTTCACTTTCCCTACCTAGTTTGCAACCTGCCGCGGGAGCCGCTTTCGCATTTCGCCGCCTTCTGGTGAGATGGAAGAGGAGGAGCGGGAAGCGCTTGGTCCCGCCCAAAGGGCTGGAGCGGTGTCGGGTTGCCGTCTTCCTTTGCATATCCTGTTTTGTTTAAACGAGCGAGAAGTCGCCTTTTCTTCAGTTTTCTTTCTTCCTTTAACTACAGTACTTTGGGGCACTTTCCTGGCGCTCAGGTGTGACTAAACCCTCCTTGGAGCAGCCAGGCGCCGCCGCTGCCGGGGGGGGGGGGAAGTTTGCTGGCGAACGTTTCTTTTCAGGGAAATGCGGCCCAGTTGGTTTGTGTGTGTGTGTGTAGATTGGATGGATGGATGCAGCTTTGGCGGGGGTGGGAGTCATATAATATACTCCTAAAATGCATGCACAGACAAGCTGTGGCTCCCATGTGTTCAGTACTACAAAC